AACTTGGATGGACCTCTAGATAATCATGCTAAGCAAAATAAGCCAGACAGAAAAAGTTGAAAATCACATGATATCACTTATATGTGAGATATAATCCTAAAAGCAACAAATGAGCAGAACAATCAAACAGACTCATGGACATGGACTATAGACTAGTGGTTACTACTGGGGTGGGAGAGGAGGGAGAAGGTAGACGGGGTAAAGGGAGTCAAATATAGGAGGTTTAGGGGGAGGGCAAAGTGGGTAAAGGGGATCAAATATATGGTAGCTGAAGGAAACTGGACTTTAGGTGGTGAACACACAATAGAATACACAGATGTTAAATGATAATGTACATCTGAAAATTATATGATTATATTAACCAATGTTACCCCAATAAACTTAATAAAAAAAAAAGACATAAGGACTGAAAACTTCCTTCCCTAATCTGGTGAAGGAAATAGACATATAGGCCCAGGAAACACAGAGAGTCCCAAACAAGATGAACTCGACAGGCCCACAGCAAGACATGTCATAATTAAAATGGCAAAGGTTAAATACAGAGAATCTTAAAAGCAGCAAGAGAAAAGCAGTTATTTACTTACAAGAGAGATCCCCTATCTGTCAGCTGATTTCTCAGCAGAAATTTTGTAGCCCAGAAAGGATTGGCACAAAATGTTCAAAGTGATGAAAAGAAAGGATCTACAACCAAGATTACTCCACCCAGGAAAGCTATCATTTAGAATTGAAGGACAGATAAAGAGTTTCCCAACAATAAAAAAAGAAAGCCAAAGGAAATCATCACTACCAAACCAGTATTACAAGAATTGTTAAAGAAACTTATTTAAGAAGAAAAAATAAATAAAAGTAAAAATATAAACAATAGAATAGTAATAACTACATACCTATCAATCATTATTTTAAATAAAAATGGATTAAATGCTTCTATCAAAAGACACAGGGTGACTGAATGGATAAGAAAACAAGACTCATACATATGCTGCCTAAAATAAGCCTACTTCAGGTCAAAAGACATACACAGACTGAAAATAAAGGGATAGAAAAAGATATTTCATGCAAATGAAAACAAAGGCAAAACAAAAACAAAAACAAAAACCCTGGGATAGTAATACTGATATCAGACAAAATGAATTTTAAAACAAAGACTATAACAAGAGACAAAAAAAGACATTTATTTCATAAAGATAAAGGGATCAATCCAGCAAGAGGATATACTCTTTGTAAATATTTATGCACCCATTGTAAGAACATCTATATATATAAAGCAAATATTGATGGACATGAAAGGAGAGATTGATAGTAATACAGTTATAGAAGGGGAACTTAACACACCATTAATATCAATGGATAGGTCATCCAGATGAAAAATCAACTGGAAAACAGCAGCTTTAAATGACACATTAGATCAAATAAATTTAATAAATATTTTTAGAACATTTCACCCAAAGCAGGAGAATATACATTTTTTTCAAGTGCACATGGAACATTTTCCAGGAGAGACTACATGTTAGGCCACAAAACAAGTCTCAATAAGTTTAAGAAGACTAAAATCATAACAAGTATCTTCTCTGATTACAATGGTATGAAACTAGAAATTAATTACAAGAAGAGAACTGAAAAACACAGGAACACATGGAGGTTAAATAACATGCTTCTAAAAATTGAATGGTTTAACAACAAGATCAGGGAAGAAATCAAGATACCTTGACAAAAATGAAAATGAAAACACAACAACTCAAAATCCATGGGACACAGTGAAAGACCTTAAAGAAACAAGAAAATTCTCAAGTAAAAAATCTAAACTTAGCTTTTTTGTCAGCTGGCCATGAAGATAGCAGACATTCAGACCAAGAGTGTTTACCAAAAGCAGCAGACCATCTTCCAAAATAAGAGGGTCCTACTTTCATGGGCCAGCCTCCCGGTATCTGTGCCACTACTAGAGGAAGGGATTGTCCCTGGGAGTTGAGAGGGTTGACAACAAAGATGGGTTTTTTTTTTCATCCTCTGGAGTATGTGGATGGGAATGGGGGCTAAATCCTGCCTCCTGCCTTCATCTCTTGGTGAAGACAACTTGTATTAATGATGCAGCACCTCTCAAAAATAAAATTTAATCTTACAACTAACAGAACTAGTATAAAGAGAGCAAATAAAGTCCAAAGTGAGTGGAAGGAAGGAAATAATAAAAATCAGAGCAAAAATAAATGAAATAGAGTCTAAAAAAATAGTACAAATGATCACTAAAAACAAGAGCTAGTTCCTTTGAAAAGCTAAAAGAACAAACAAAAACGATAAACCTTCCACCAAACTCAACAAGAAAAACAGATAAATAAAATTAGTGACAATTGACATCATGGAAATACAAAGGATTATAAGAAAATTCTACAAACAATTATACGCCAACAAAGTGAATACCCTGCAAGAAATGGATAAATTCCTAAAAGCTTACAATATTGCAAGACTGAATCATGAAGAAACAGAAATTCTGAACAGACCAATAACTACGAACATAATCAAGTCATTAATCAAAAAAAAAAAAAAAACACCTCCTAATAAACAAAAGTCCTGGAGTGGATGGCTTCACAGGTGAATTTTACCAAACATTCAAAAAAGAATTAACACCTATTGTTCTCAAAATATTTCAAAAAATTCAAGAGGAGGGAAGACTCTCAAGCTCACTTTACAGGGCCACCATTACCCTGATTCCCAAACAAGACAGAGATATTCAAAAAGGAAATTACAGGGCAATATTCCTAATGAACATAGATGCAAAATTCCTCAACGAAATTATTAGCAGACCAAATTCAGCAATATATTAAAAAGATCATACACCATGATCAAGTGAGATTTATTACTGATCTGCAAATCAATTAACATGACACATCATGTAAACAAAATGAAGGATACAAATCATATGATATCAATAGATACAGAAAAAGCATTTGACAAAATTCAGCATATATTTACGATAAAAATCTTCAGCAAAATAGGAATGGAGGGAACATATTTCAACATAATAAAGACCATATATGACAAAAACAGCTAATATCATACTTAATGAGGAAAAGTTAAAGCATTTTCCTTAAGATCAAGAACAAGACAAGGATGTTTACTTTTACCACTTTTATTCAACATAATATTGGAAGACCTAACCACAGCAATCAAACAAGAAGAAATAAACAGCATCCAAATTGGAAAGGAAGAAGTAAAACTGTCATTATTTGCAGATAACATGATACTATATAAAGAGAACCCTAAAGATTCCACAAAAACCTATTAGAACTGATAAATAAACTCAGTAAAGTAGCAGGATACAAAATTAATATTCAGAAATCAGTTGCATTTTTGTACCCCAATAATGAACTATCAGAAAGAAATTTAAAAAACAATCTCATTCATAATTGCATCAAGAAAAAACCTAGGAATAAACTTAACTAAGGAGGTAAAAAACCTGTACTCAGAAATTAATAAGACATTGAAAAAAGGAATTAAAGAAGATACAAATAAATGGAAGCATATATCATGCTCATGGATAGAATTAACATCGTTAAATGGTCATACAACCCAAAACAATCTATAGATTCAATGCAATCCATATCAAAATACCAATGTCAGTTTTCAGATACCTAGAACAAATAATCCTAAAATTTATATAGAACCATAAAGATCCTGAATAGCCATGGCAATTTTGAGAAAGAAGAATGAAGTTGGAGGTATCATACTACCTGATATAAAACTGTACTACAAAGCTATAGTAATCAAGATAGAATGGTACTGGCATAGAAAGAGATACACAGATCAGTGGAAGAGAATAGAGAGCCCAGAAATAAATCCATGCCTATATAGTCAATTAATCTATGATAAAGGAGGCAAAAATATGTCATGGGGTAAAGACAGCATATTTAATAAATGGTGGTGGGAAAACTGAACAGATACATGCAAAAAAATTAAACTAGACCACTTTCTTATACCATATACAAGAAAAAACTTGAAATAATTAAAGACTTAACTATAGGACCCAAAACCATAAATCTCCTAGAAGAAAATATAGGCAGTAAACTCTCTGACATAGCACTTAGTAATATTTTTTGGATATGTCTCCTCAGGCAAAGGAAACAGAAGAAAAAAAATAAACAAACGAGACTATATCAAACTAAAAAGTGTTTGCACAGCAAAGGAAACCATCAACAATATGAAAAGACAACCTACTGGAAAGGAGAAGGTATTCGTCAATGATACATCCAATAAGGAGTTTATATTCAATATATATAAAAAATTCATACAACTTAACACCAAAAAACAAACAATCCAATTAAAAAATGGGTAGAGGTCATGAATAGACATTTTCCTAAGAGAACATACATATGGCCAATAGACATATGAAAAGATGCTCAACATCACTAATCATCAGAGAAATGCAAACTAAAACCACAAAGAGATGTCATCTCATACCTGTCAGAATGGCTATCATCAATAAATCAACAAACAAGTGTTGGCTAGGGTGTGGAGCCCTTGTGCACTGTTGATGGGATTGCAAATTGGTGCAGTCACTATGGAAAACAGTATGAAGATTCCTCAAACAATTAAAAATAGAGCTATCATATGACCCAGCAATCCCACTTTTGGATATTTACCTGAAGAAATCCAAATCATTAATTCAAAAAGATATATACATCCCTATGTTTACTGCAGTGCTATTTACAATAACCAAGATATAGAACCAACCTAAGTGTCCAGCAATAGATGACTGGATAGAGAAGATGTGGTACACACATGCAATGGACTATTACTTGGCTATAAAAAATGAAATCTTAACAATTGCAACAACATAGATGATCTTAAAGAGTACTATGCTAAATGAAATAAGTCGGACAGAGAAAGACAAATACCATGTGATCTCACTTATATGTGGAAACTAAAAATCAAAATAAACTATCAAAACAGAAACAAATTCATAGGTACAGAGAACAAACTAAAGGTTTTCAGATGGGAGGGGGATTGGGGGTGCTGTGTGAAAAAGAGGAAGGGATTAAGAAGTATAAATTTGCAATTACAAAATAGTCATGGAGATGTGAAGTACAACATAGGTAATATAGTCCATAATATTGTAAATAACTATGTATGGTGCCAGGTGGGTGGGTACTAGACTTATCGGGAGTATCACTTAATAAGTTATATAAAAGTTTACCATTATGCTATTCCCC